GTTCCTCCAGAGGCTGGGCTATTTTATTACTGAACTCGAAGTTCTGAACAGACATATTCAGTAGCGAATTATTTAACTCACCTGTTTGTCGCTTACTACATAGTCACCTGCGAGATTGACGTCTTAGCTCCACCTAGGAGATGACGAGGCGGTAATTCGTAGAGCCATTGACACCGCAGGCCACCTTCTTCCGCATCAGAGAGGGGAGAAGTTGCTGGCGAAAAGGAGACGTGCAAGTGTACGGAAGGAGACCGTTATGTTTACAACTGTCGAGACCATGGGGACACAACACTTCCAGTCTGCCTGGCCTTTCCGGACTCAGGCGTTGTAGTCGCAAAGGACAACCAGTTTGTCCGCCTTCGACACAGTCACCAGGGGGAGGGGGGACGAGGGCATAGGCGCTGACAATGTTAGCGAATTTGCCTTCCTGAATAGGCAAGCGCGGGGTCATGCGTTAGTCGTATGGACTGTGCAGCAGACAAAAGTCGTCCCACGATATTGTTCCGGCGGAAAAGGCGACACTATCGTCGCACCGCTTAGAGCTAACCCTGTTCAGAGACTCTGATTTCGCTGGGAGCAGCGATGTCCGCCTTTTAGCACACCACTTCCTGAACGACTAGTGCCGTCCTTTCCAGCCAATTGCTTCTAGAAGAAGACCAACATTCCGGACTACGAGACTGAATGCACTCATTCAGGCGGTCTCGGAGAGGGACGGAGAGGATAGGCCATCGCGAGTTTTGCATCCACGAACCACCGCATATTTGCAGATGACGTAATTTCCCAGAATTTGTTAAAACAACTTCTATAGCTCAGAGGGTGTTAGCATTTTTGTCCCGAAGTAGGGCTCTTTAGATATTTCAGGTGGCTGCCAAATCCAACAATGGGTCAAGGCTTTGTTTAGTGTGGAGCCACCCGAGTTAGTCTGGGCCACCCACGGGCTTGCGTGCCGTTCGCTCCGTGGGAACAGAAATACCTGGTGAGGGACGCATACAACACCGATAGTCCAATGTGGCTTGGCACAATGGTTGAGGCGGTTACCATAGTGCGGCTGCTAGGCAAGTCCTATTT